GCTGCCAATGGGAGAGAGGCAGCAAATGGGAGCTGCAATTGCTGGGATTGAGCAGGTAAATATCGAGTTAAGTGCCAGTGAGGTAGCTAATCTTGAGAGACCACATCCAGCCTACAAGTTAATTATTTTAGGTACTAAAAATCAATGTTCTCTCTGATTGTGTTTTTTGCACATAGCTGTTTTTTGGGCACTGCTATAATTTGCCCCAGGAGAAGGAATCTTGTAAGTTTTTTTTTTTTTTTAAATCAGTGCAGTTACACATTTAAATGGATACAATTTTTGCGCTCCTAAGCACACCAATTTTTGTTCATGAAATGCACAAATAAAAATAGCAATCACTGGTCATAAACTACAACCAACCATATGGCTATTGAAACTATTATATATCCCTAATGTGTGCTGGAATTAAGGGTGCTGAGTTTGCTGCTGTGCTCCCTGACCTGAAGTGGATTTTCCTCATACACAGTTCATAGTTTGATTCAGTGGTGCTCAACACCACTGGTCAAGACAGGCATATTAGACGTTCAGCCTGAAAACAGAAGGCAGGGCAGTCTGTTTACTGGAGCCAGGTGTGGCAACTGGAGCAGAATATGCCCGAATCCATCCCGGGCAGAGGTAGACTAAGGAAGCCATTTAAACTACACACGTGGGCATACAGACATGTGAAAGGATTTACAGTCTCCGCCAGCGAATAGCGGTACCCCGACTCAACATGACTCTGGCCGGGAAGGTGCCACTGTTCTCCCCCGCCCTTCCCTAGCCACTCCCAGCCCTTGTGGCGTCGTACCTGCTCTGCAGTGACCGGTTCGTTGAGGCGGTGCTCACCGGAGAGGTGGTGCCTGAGAAGCAGGGTTCGTTTGTAGTTGCGAGTGCCCTTGCAAAGTTCGTCGTGGCCCCCCGCACCGCCTCCGCCAGCCATGCTGTTGTCGGGGGCGGCGGCGGTACACCAGGCGCAAGACATGAGGCCGGTCTCCTGGCAATAGTGCAGCCATGGGAACTCCTTGAGCCAGGAGCCCTGGAAGGAGACGTGCAGCTTCTGCAGCAGGGACTTGGGCCTGGCCGCTAACGGGAAATGCTTGATGCTTTCCCCCTCCCCCGCGCCCACGCTGCTGCCCTCCGCCTCGTCCCCCCCATCGCCTCCAGATCGCCCTCGGCTGCCACAGCTCCC